GGAAGGTTTCCCTTTTTAACCCAAGGGGGGGGGGTTCTCCCCCGTTGGGGGGGGGGGGGATTTTCCCCCCCCCCCAATTTTTTTTTCCTGCCCCCCCTTTGGGTTCCCCCCAAAAAAAAAAAGGGGGAAAAAAAAAAAAACGGTTACCCGGGTGCCGGGTTCCAGAAGGGAATTGGCTTTTTTTAAAAAGGTGGTCCCCAAGGGAGAAAACCCCATCCCGGGGGCAAACCCCGGGGGGGGGGGTTTTTTTTAAAAGGTTGTCCCCAAGGGAGAAAACCCCACCCCCGAGGGTTGGGGGGGGGGGGGGGGGGCTATGTGTCCGGAATGTTTTTCGCGTGTACCCTTGCTCAACGTAATATTCTTGTAGATATGTGGGTGGAATGGCATGGCCAGTGTCCCCTGTGGTGACTACACCCCGGTCTAGTAGGGGTACAAGGATATGTTCGTGCGATGTAAAAGTTATCGTGGTCTTGGTGATCTTTGGGTCCTCTGTTTGATATCGAGTTCCGAGCGAGAGCGATGGGCTCTCTTCATCTGCCCGATGTGTCACCAGGGCGACGTCTGACTGTTTTTGGTCTGGCCGTGTTATTTTCTTGCTTTTTCGGTTTATGTTTTGTGCTCGATTTTATCAGATATGTAAAACATTATTGGGTAATATTGAAAAATAACTAACAACGGCGTTTGACGGACCACCATGAGGTACCATGAGGAACCATGAGGTCTCATAGCCACCATGAGAATCATCTCATGGAATCTCATGGAGGCCCATGAGATTGCTCATCATGGGGGCACCATGAGATCATTCCCGTGTCATACCATGGCAGACTATGGGAAATTTCATGGGACAATGGCAATGGATGACCCCCGTGGTGCACATGAGGCGATATGAGCAAATAAATAAATGTTCGTGAACAGAACAACACAGATTGTAAACAGAACAAAGGAGAATGTAGGACCCGATGGCGCCATGGGGCTTCATGGTAAAAACTGTAAAAACGTTAAAAAAACGAGGAAAATGACCTGAAGAGAACTGAAAGAACGTCATGGGGCACCATGAACGCCCATGAGGTTCCCAAACCTCCCATGGTTCACCATGAGAACCCGTGGTGCATGATGGCGCATCATGAGAGTTGGGAAAATGGTTCTGAAGAAATAAGTTCAAAATAAGTGCAAAATGTCTCGAAAACCCATGATGAGCAATACTGTCATGGTGTGCCCCATCTGAAAGCTCACGATATTCTCACGAGACCCATCGTATCCTTCTATCACGCCGTGGGGAGCTCCATGAGATCTCATCATGGTGCCCATGAGACCTCATGGTGCATCTTGAATTTGTACGACGTTTTCCTGTTTCTTCGCGTTTGTCTTTTCTATTTCTTGTCATCTCGTGGTGCGTCATGATCATATTCCATGATTGCTCATGGTGCCCCATAAGAACATTTCTCACGAACCCCTTGAGAAAATATCGCGTGAGAATATCGTTTTCTCTGTATCTCATTGGAGCACCATGGTGTCTCCTGAGGCACCATGAGATTCCCACCGGGTCTCATGGGGCACCATGATGCACCATGGTGAATGCACCATGATAAATCTTATGATGTGACCCAAAAATAAATGTCAAACTCCCTATTTTTGGCGTTCGTTCGTGATGATTTTTCTGGTCTGCGTTTATTTTCCTTTTTCGAAGGGTGTACCCTTTTGGGGGTCGTTGGTTTATGTCCAAACCGGCACGAGCGCTAGAAGGCACTGGGCAGAGACCGGGGCTTTTTTTAACGGCAGCAACAACGAAACAAAGATAACCAAACACATCAATTGAGTACAGTCACGAAAACTAACTTACACGGCTGTGCGGGTCCAATCCATAAAATTCTGCCGCCAGAAGTAGGGTAGACTTCTAACCTGTGTTCATTAGTTCTACGGTACCAATGAGACAGTTTTCTACTGTCGCTACCCCCTGCTTCAAAGTTCTCGGGAGGGCTCTGGATCATTGAATCTACATGTAAGACGAGACATACTTCGAGTTTCAGGGCCTATCTGTTGCAGGCTCACTTTGTCGAAGGTGAACTGAATACCCTTCCCAGGAAACAGTCGGATACCACGTAGGGCCCCATACTCATGCCAATGTGGTGCCATCAACTGGTACTGGCCGACCTACCTAGCGTTTGTTAACAGAGCGCCGACACTGGGACACCACAATTAATTGCGTGTTCGACCCAAACCATATAATTGCGGTTGGTACTTCTGGAGCCACACGTGTCGTGTCACCACGTTTTGCTGTCCGTAAGTTGCAACAATCTCTGCAGCCCTTGTTGTCACTTTATTCTCTCTGTGGTAATCGACTCGCAGTACATCGATAGCCACAGCTACCTTTTGTGGTTGACACCCAATCGCCAACAAGCAATTCTCGGGTAGTTTTGGACCATTCTGAAAGATAGAAGGTACGTCGGCACCGTTAAAAATGTGAAGACAACATCAACAACACCTACGCCCACCACCACCAACAGGTGTGCATTTAGGATACCCTGTAAATCCCCGACGATTATTTCCTCACGCTCCGCCTTCAGTCCCAGTCCCCGCCGCCCCGTTGCTCCCCTTTTGAAGAGAGTTTACCACCATGGCGTTGCATACGTCCTCCACTTGCCCCGGTTGCCAGGGCTTATAGATGATATCGCTGCCGCCGGCGTCCTGGAAGCGCTCCCGAGTAGTTTGTGTTGTGTCCGCGGTAAACCCACAAATGGGCACTCTACGAAAGTAGGACACGACACGAGCGGTGGCACAGCAATATCGGGGTTTGTGAGGGTGGTAAGGGAGCAAGAAGAGGGTTCAGAAGAGAAGAAGCGTGGAGAACGTGTGGTGACTACAGTGTTCAGTACCAAGTAGCTGATGTATTGCTCTGGCTGGACACCAACACCAACTTAAAGTTTATGCAAATTCACTGGCACCTTTCCCAAGCTGATCCAATGCTGGCGACAGAGTAAGAGTTCTTCTGAGGCAGCAGACCGGTCCGTCCCTAGTACATTAAATTGTAGACTAACAGTGCGGGCGGTTGCATAGGTGTGCGATCGACTTTACAATAATAAAGGATTGCTCCACAACAACCAACAGGGCGTAAAGCCTGACCGACGCGTTCAAGGAAACCTCTCAACGACATCTTTCCAGAAAGACGCTATTCGGCATGTTGGCATCATTTTGGTTGTGCAGCAATGGACCTTTGAATATCGATCGCACATCTGTGCTTTTGCCCGGACCCTTTACCCACATGCCGACCAATGTGCCACACGGAAGCTTGGGTAATGGTTTACAACTGATACGGAAGACAGCATGGAAGCCATGCCTATTGAACGGTCTCCAGCACCCTAACCGGGGAATAACGTTTCATCGCAAGTGATAATTGCACACACAAGGTTGCGGCGAACAAGCTACTACGGCGAACAAGCTATAACAGTTGCAAAATTAACAGAACTCACGGTAGCCATCCTCTCTCGACCTCGCTCTGCCTGATTTTCCTCGTGCACTCTATTCCGTCCATGTTCGGCATATGCAAGTCCATGAACACCCCCGCCAGGACTACCGAGCCAGCGCTGCCATTGTTGTTGGGCTCGTCCCTTCGCGCCCCTTGAAACGCTTCGATCGCCGTCTTACCATCGGTGGCCAGTAGTACCTGCACCGCGGTCTGGCTGTCCTTGAACACCATTGCAATCTTCTTCTCCATGAGCGTGATGTTTATCTTCTGGTCGTCCACCACTAACAACGCGATCTTCTTGTGGGGCCCGGTACCCTTGTCGCCGTTGTCACCGCCTCCCGAGACGGAAGAAGGGTTGTTGGTGATCTCGGCCATCGCCTTTGTCGTCTCCACCAAGTGTTCGTCGTTCGCTGATCCTACTCGACTCGTCGTCGTGCAAACGGTTCCCGGCTCCGCTCCTTCCTCTTCCTCTGGCGGAGGACAAAGCAGGGGCAGCGTGACGGCAAAAAGAGTGCCGCCCCGTCGCTGATTTCCCTCGTCTGAGAACGTGGAGGCGATCCCCAGGCCCCCGAACATGTCGTCCACGTGGATTTTGCAGACGTTCAAGCCCAAGCCAACCCCTTGGTGCTCCTTGGAAACACCGTGCGAGACCTGCCGGTACGCCATCACGAGCTGCGAGAGTTCCCCCTTCTGGATACCGATGCCGGTGTCCCTTACGCAGTACACATACCACCGATGCGCTGCCGAGATGAACGGTGCTCCTGGTTCAGATCCCGGCAGTACCCCTACCATGTGTTCAACGTCGTCGGTTTCGGGGGACTCCCCAATCCAAACGTGGTCGTCGAAGCGGGCGGTTTGCTCAGCCCACCAGTTCGCGGTGTCTTGTGGCGAGGCAAAAACGAAGTGGGAGACCTCCACCTTTCCTCCGCTGGGGGTAAACTTGATGGCGTTGGACATCAGGATCTGCACGATGTGTTTTATGCGGCGCTCATCTCCGACCGCCTCTTGTAGACAGGTGTTGCCGTCGTCGTTGTCTTTGGTGGGGGTATCGGCAGAGAATGTACAAGATCCGATGGAGACTTCGGTCGCCAGTTCCACTCCCTTCTAAACGGCTAACTGCCTCAACGCCGCAACCGTCAGGTCGACGGGTCTTGAGGTGACGAATCGGTGGCGAGTCACCGTGATGTTGGTCCGATCCTTTGCGATGTCGATCATGTTGTTTAGGGTGGACAACATGGATGCTCCGCACAGCACAGCCGAGTTGATGACTTCGTGCCGTTGTGCGACGTCCATATCGGCATGCTCTGCCTGCAGCATGTCGAGCGAGCCCATCACACCGTAGAAGGGCGTGCGGAGTTCGTGCGACAGGTGGGCGAAAACCTCTTGCAGGTCGACTGGGAGAGCCTCCGCGTACAGATGCGACGAAATTCCGTGGCGCACTATGCCCAGTAGATCCACAGTGGATGGTGACCACGGTTCAAACCCCGCCTCGGCCTTCTCCATGATCATTTCGAAGGACGCTCTCGGGTGGCTTATTTCCTGATTTAGGAGTGGGGTGTCGGGCTTCCCGGCCCACTTGACGTGACGCGCGATAGCCCCACGCAAAAAAGCGACGAGGAAAGAGCGCACCGAAAAAAACGCCACACCCTTAGCCTCCTGTGATTTGAAAAGAACCGCGGTCTCCGCGCTCACCTCATTGATAAGGTCCTGGCACTCGCCTCGGGAGAGAGATATCTCCTTGTTTCCGTGGACGGCCACGGGTCGCGAGGCTGTATACAGGACGACGGTGTCTACGGCAAGGGTGTCCAGGAGCGTCTCGGACTCTGCCGTGAGGAAATCGTCGACCCTCATATAATTGCTGATTGTTGCTAACGTGCGCGATACAGCCAGAGTGGCCGCTGTGATCTCCTTTCGCTGGTGCAGCGAGATCAGCGAGGACACGACCGCAGCCACCGTCTCTACCGTGCTTCGCTCTTCGCATGATGGGGCCACGATCCGCGTATAACTATGAAAGGAGTAGATCCCCCACAGCTCGTCGTCTACAATGATGGCCACGACTAGCGATGATTTTATTCCCATGTTCTTGAGATTGTCTAGGTGGCAACTGGAAGACGCTCGCAGTGCGCTCATCGAAAGATCGAGGGCTGTGGAGATTCGCTCGTGGAGGAGGTCTATCGGCACGCCTGGCGCGGAAGTATCGGCAATGAACCGCACGCCATTCAGCCTGAGCATCTTCCGCGTCACAGGAGGGATGTCAGATGCCGGGAAACGGAGACCCATGTAGGAGGAGGTGACCCTCGACCCCGGTAGGATGGTCTCATGGATTACCTCCCCGCTCTTGTCGGCTGTGAACCGTAACACCGATATCCTGTCGAAGGCGGGCATTATATCCATCAGAGCGTCACAGACCGCACCAGTCATCATCTGCGGCTTCCCCCCGCTGGGAACGCGCCCGAGCACGTCCCTCACCACCAGGAGTCCGGACTTGGGTTCGGCACTACTTGCGCTGTGAGGCCCGTGTCTCTTCTCCACTTCTATCAAGTACAATTGTAGGTTGCTGCCCGCCAGGGTGCAGGTCAGGACTTCCCCGTCACGTTTGTGGTCACCCTTACCTTCGCTCTGCCGGTGCTTCGGGGGCATCTCGAGCTCCGCATGAATCCTCGGAAATGACGAGCAAACTTCTGAGAAGTTCCTCCTGTTGGTGTTCGCCGAGAGGTGGTCGGGCGAGGGCTGCCCCCACTTAGCCTTGTGGCGCACTACAAGAGAGCGCACGATTTCCACGCAATCCTGGCGCCACAGGCACCCAAGATCTTTGCCGAGAAGCTCCTTGGTGGAGATCGCTGGTTGGACCCACGACGCAGTTGCCACGTTCTCGGCTGGCGCCTACGATACGGATGCCCGAAGGGAAGGCGTTGGTAGCCGCCATTTCTTCCACGACGAGAAGGTGGCCGCAGTCCTGGATCTCTCCGATCTCGTGAAGCCTTGACATGTCCACTGTGCACTTGCGTTGCTTTTTTCGTATGGTGTGGTTGGATCGCGGATACGCCAGCTCTCCACGAGTTTTACACACGGAGAGGTGTTGTGTGGTTCATACGAGTGATGGCGAACGGTCGACGATTGGGTAACATTTGTGAGGTTTGACGTCTCCCCCTGTCGCTCCTGTCGCTGGTGCCCACCTCGTAAAAAAGGCTCCGTCTGTCTGTGTACCGACCGATCGGCCCGGCCCTCAAATTCGTCAATTTCCTGCGACCTTGGCCTCTCTTGCAGCAGTCCACCAAACCGCCAAACCAATTTAAACCCAACCGACCGGCCAAAGCAGGCAGTCTGCTCAAGCCGGGACGATGGGATGTTGGAAAATGTATTTGATGGTTCGTGGACTTCGAACTCTTAGATATGGTCATATCCTGGTCTCCGATCTCCGATCTCCATGTCTCCATGTCTCCATGTCTCCATGTCTCCATGTCTCCATGTACTACAATAATACAGTACATCTACCTCCACAGCAGAACCAGAACCAAAAAACACTGAAATAAAAAAAAAAGAGAACCAAAACCTGTATCCTGGTTCACGGATCTATACGGTTGTATGTGCGTCCCTACTACTGGGAAGATACCTGTATCCTGGTTTCCACACACCACGGTAGGGCGCACATCACAGTTGAGGACAGCGGACAACTGATAGGACAGCAGTGCGAGGGGTAGGAGCTGCTCGATAAAGGCTACCCATTAGACTAGTTGCACAGCAGTCAGCTCACACAAGGTTCCACGCACGGGTTCGAATCCCGGCAGCACCGCCGAGGCCCATCCCGGATATCACTACTACTGTCAGTCATGATCCAGCTGGGAGGCCAAGAGCCCGCGGACATATCTCGGTAACGTGTAGTCTAATGGGTAGCCTTTTTTCGAATAGGAGCAACTAGTTGTAAGCAACGTATCCACCCTCCCATATCGTTTTTGTCATGCTTTTCAAATTTCAACGGTCCTGGCGGTGGCTGGATCGGTGCCGAGAACGGCGCTTCAGCAGCACAACACTGTGCTGCTTGTAGCTTAGTACTGCGGTACAATAAGTGTGCCCAAACGACGAGTGATGGGATCGCATAAAATGAATATCCGCCCAGGTTCCCATCACACGTTGACACTAGCTGTAAAGATTTGTGATAAAACCCCCTTCGATTGGGGTATTGTACAGTGTAGTACAGTCGTGTCTGGAATGGAGTATGAAGAGACTTTAAGACTACACTGTATACTGGTTACAGAGTTTCTACGTATGTACCGTAGTTTCTCGTGGACACGAGGAGGATGCGAGACGGCTTCGAACCAATACTTAGCCCAGTTTCTCGCATTTTCAAAGTGAGCCTCACCACCTGTAAGGTCTTCCACATGCTCGTTTCGAATGTAAGTGAGGAAGTGCTGTGCTCCTCACATCGTCGCAGAGCTGGACGGCGTTCGTAGGTCAAAACGCCTACCGAGGGAGACTCTCGCACCTACCACGGAGCATGTGGTCCCAATGTAGTCACTCGTTAGAAGGGTTCACGACCGATGATTAGTCTTTCACGAATGACAGGGGCATAGAATACAACAGCACGTGGTTGGATGAAAACGTATCACCACCCCACAACTCGCACAGAGACACGGAAAACTTAAACCAGCCCCACATTGGTAATAAATACTCGTACACGCCACACCCCAACACCGTCTCTCTCTCTCTCTCTCTCTCTCTCTCTCTACTCATTAGTTTCCTCTCTACCACGCACAGCGACACACCAAGGCAAAACCACCTACCTACCCTGCCCACATACCGAAAAGTATTCTAATGTCATACGGGAAACACCCCTTCACAAAAGGCGTCGCTATGCTACCTCTTTCGACTGTTCGCACCAGACGGAGGTAACAGCATTCCAGATACCAACACAAGACAGCTCCCCCAAACGCCGCGACAAAAAAACAAGGATGCAGTGTTTGCATGAAATGAAACGCCACCGTCGTGCGTGTTCATGCATCAGGAACGAACGTGACCGGTGTGTGGGGGGGAGGTATCGGTAAGTCGGCCAATCATAAAGCTTGACCCATTCACCGACCGAATCCCTTCCGAGAGAAACGGAGTTCCCACGACGGGGTGGTACATTCCGTCATATACGACAGGGGTGCTATCTTCCGTCACATGCGGTACGGCCGCCGTGCGGGGGCGTCGATGGCGTCGGGGGCCGTACGATCATCGCAGAGCCGACGAGGTTGTGGTCCGTGTCGTCTGGGAAAGTCACGTCGGCAGGTATCGCCCAGCGCGCTCGAGGGGTGGGCATCTGTCGAATGTCCACGAGCCTCTGTCGTCGCCGTAACCACGTTGTTGGACGCCGCACGACAGCAGGGGGAGGGGGGGCGGTAGAGCGCGCGTGGGGGGGGGGAGGCGTAGTCATGGGGTGCGAATGTACCTGTTTGTTTGCAAGCACTTGTCGAAAGACATGGGCACGTCCTGTAGGACAAACCCGTACCAACTCACTGTTGTCTGTACCGGTAACCCCCAGAGCTAAAGCGCTGTGACATGCTTTGTTGTTCGGCGAAGCCTGGTTGGCGTACTTTCCATTTGATCGACCAAGTAGCGCGGTTGCTAGCAGTCAAAAATCACATAAAGAGAGAGAGAGAGAGAGAGAGACAGACAGACAGACAGACAGAGACAGAGACAGAGAGAGGACAGCGACAGAGAGAGATGCGCAAACAAATCACAGCCCGCCCAAACGTGTCGCTGTACTTGCTACTGTAGCTCACCTCCTTCGCCCGTCTATGGCTGTGCATCATCAGCGTGGGCGGCGGGTTAAGGCCAGTGCCGCCGTTCATGAGAGCCCAGTGCAGCTCCGGGGGTAGGTCTGTGTTGACCGGCTGCCCGTAGAGCACGTAGTTTGGCGGTCGCCCGATTATCCAGCCCTCCCTGCCGCCCAGGCATTCCTTCGCGATCGTAACCTGTTGTTTATCATCGTTTTGTACGCCGAGAAACGGGAGAAACGCATATCGTAAGCGACGTCAGGTTTTTCGCCCTTCTCGTTGCGACAAAAAAATTGTTTGCCTGTGGAATAGATGAAGCTTGGTTGTGTTTTCGTCGTGAAAAAAAAAACAAAAAACGAGGCAGACACAAAAACTACCAGTGGAAGACACTTGTCGACACCAGTGGGACATACGTTATACCGCAGTCGCCCCACCGCCCCATGGTGTCGCCTGAAAATACCGCAGATGCCAACCGCCCCGGTCGTTCCCATCTACCGCCCTGCCGCCACGTGCTCCTTGTACGGAAGCTACCACACTCGATATTTTTATTCTTCACCTCAAGGTGTACAAGACACACACAACGGTGACTGCACGACATCTTCTCGACACCACGGCTTCTGAAGCCCTATAGGTTCCAGTGTCTGTTGCCGAAACTCTCGGATACATATTCGAATCCAACCCCACTTTTTCCGACCCCACCCTCTCTTATTCACTTGGTTTTAGAGGAGGTGATGTCTGGTATCTTCTCTAAAAGCAAGTTGTTTTTCTTCGGTCGATGTTTCTCGAGATTCCATCGACAGATTTTCGTGTGGGTTGGAAGACGTTGTCGCTCCTGGCCCCGTCCGTCCCACCTGCAATTTTGGTGCAAAACCTCAACCTTGTGTCAGTTTTTGAGATACGCGTCGGTCGTTGTTTGCCATTTCGTAGATCTGCCCCGTGCGAAGAACCGAAGAACCGAAACACACCCTTCCTCTCCTCTTTTTCACCCACAGGTAACTCACCCCAACCCACGCAGATCGACGCGGAATGCACCGCAATCGAATGCGTCAATCAATCAAGGACAGCTCGCGCGAACAATGCGTGAAGCGTCTGCAATACAAGAAAACAATACTTCTACAGCAATAGTCCCTAGCTATACTACAGGTACAATACGGCGAGGGAACAGCTCACATCGTCTTTGCCGTTGGTGTAGAACGGTGCGCCGTTCCGAAAGCCCGCCAACTCGTAAGTGCCGTTCGCCTACCGTATCACCCGGGGCAGCAACACACGGTAGGAGGGACAAAGCAAAAACACGGGAACGGCATCACACGGCGGGGGGGAAATAGCAGAAATAGGGGAACGGGGGGCGGGGTGTGTGTCACATTTGATCATCGAAAATATTCCGTCACTTGAGCAAGTAATTGGGCCATCGGCATGCATGTACCCCATTTCGAGACAGAGAAGCGCCAACGTTATTCCGTTCTCTCCCACCAGAGACACCCACAAAAACTGAGCGTCCTACTGCTGTAAACGCTCGCATCAAAAACGGCGGCATACGCTGCGATGTTTTGGGTTCTTGCTTGGGTCGGAGTTGAGAGAGAGGCAAAACCTTAGCGCAGTCAAGAAAATCCGAGATGCGGTAATAAAGTAGAACCAACAAAAATAAACAGGGGAACGTAGTATGTTCGCCCCGCTCACGCCTATGATCGTCTCTTCCTACAGCTGGAGATGGGGATGCGGGGCGCAAAATATTCAGTACGCACTGGGGCGGGGGCGATTAGATTCGCTTCGATTCTAGGGTGCAAGCGCACGAGCTCACGCCGACTAAGATAGCAAATCCCATTTACGACAATCCTTGAAAGAAGTGGACAGATGAAATCTCCTCCGGCAGCAGCGGAGGGGGGGAACACGCTGGAGATCCACCGAAAAAGAAAACGCGGCAAAGGCGCCGTGCTCTTGAACACAGACAAATCCATTTTCCAACATCTCATCAATCCTCCCCCTGTACTCAAACTTCGCGAGATACAGAAGTAAGAGATGGACACGATCATCAACCCCCGTTGCTTCATCACGCACACACACCGAAAGAGGCAACAGTGTGAAAAACAACAGATCGTTGCACTGGGACACGCTGATTGACAAATTCTCACTCTACCCCCGTGGGCCGTCCGGCACAAGACCATGATAGAGCGCATCTAGCCGTCCGAGATATAGATGTTCTGTACTTGTAGCGTCGCCCGATGGTGTTCAAAGCGCTATGGTCCTCACGACAAAAAGGAGAAACGCTGGAGACCAACAGACAGACAGTCATGGCGAGTGTTGGCACGAGTGCCGTTGCGGGCTGCGGGCAGCTGTTGTCCATGCCAAACAACATGGCATTCAATTTGAAAGAGATTGGGCAAACATCGACCGCCCCTAGCGAGTGCTGCAAATGTTTTGCTTTGCCGTGGCTACACTCTAGCACAAAACCTATCCGAAAAACCATCAGCAATCCACTCAAAAAAACACACACACGGAAGAAGCCAGTCATTTTCGTTGATCAACCCACTCGCGCAATCGATGCCAAGTAAAAAAACAAGCACACACACACACACCTCGTTCGCCCCCGCTCCAAGCAGGATGCACTCGGGGGGACAGCGCTCGATGTCGGGGCAGGTTACTCTGAGGCGACGTTTGCTCGACCCGTCCAACAGGCAGAGGTACACCTCAACCCTCCCCACAAGGGAGATACCCCCCGCCTGACCAAGCACAAGGAACGGACAAAGCAATTGAGGGGGCGGGGTGGGGGTACAAGACGAGAAACAGCAGAAGATACTATTGATGAATTCATTTTGCTAATCTATCCCAGACTCTTATCTGCGTAAATGATGAACTTGTCGTATGAACAAAAAAAAAAAAAACACGTTCACGACCAAATAGGCAAGTGGCAGCATGGGACATAGTCGTCAACACACCCAGGTTGTAAAAATACGCCCAGCGCGTGTGCCAGCCAATAGAGAAGAGTAGACAAGACCACCCGCCATCCTACACAAGAGAACAAAAACAAAAACAAAAACACAAGTTAGGGATAGGACACGTTCGGAGCCGCGAAACGACACACACGGCCGCATCAGGCAGGGCACCGTCGGGTACGTTTCACGTGATCGGACCCTACCCACCACACAACTTAGGAACTAATTCAGCAACCACGGCTTCGGGGCCCGCCACCAATCCGAATACCTGCGCGTTGCAGAAGTACTAGGTCTTCGGGAAAATCACAACCAAGATTTGGATATTGCTCGCCACCAATCCGAATACCTGGGCGTTACAGAATTTTTAGGGTCCCGAGACTGCCTGGTTTTCGAGGAGGCGCCCAGGCCGGCCGCATTGTTCTTGAAGCAAGGCTGTACTGCTTGACGACTTATTTAGATGTGGTGTATGACAAGCCTGGTTTAACAGCAGGGGCGGATTCTTGCTGGAGGTGTTCAGGTACACACCCACCTCGTCATCCGCAGGAGCAGGGGCATCGGCAGCAGCCGCCGCCCCGCCATTGTTCGGCGAATTCCGGGGGGTTTTCGTACCACCGGAGCAACTGACCCCGCCGTCGCCGCCGTCGCCGCCGCCGACGTCGTCAACAGACCACCCCGGCCCGCCCCACACCTCCTTTCGAGCCTGATTGGTGGGGAAAAAAAAAAAAACACCAAGGGGACCATATCGATTTTGATTTCAGGGCGCCGCGACATTTTGTGTAGGCAATTGGGGGGGGGGGACTCATAGTCGTGCATGCCGTAGTCGTTTGACCATTGACCTCGCATCCCTACAAAGCCGGGACGGAGCACGCCGGGTTCTCACCGGACCAGGCTCTCACATCACCAAGCGCGAAGCGCCGTGAGGTATTCGGCGAGTCGCATGAAGGGTGAGCTGCATCCTGCTAAGGGTGTTCGGCATCTTGTACTTCCTTGCGTACGGATGACAGCTACGTATGACTTAATTTATTTTCTGGTGCTTTCACTTCCAGAGACAGTTGTAAGCACTGTGTAACTGCCTCGAGGATGCTTGATCATTTTAACACAACGTGGTGCGATCATCCCCCGTTGCGCGGAATGAGGGTTCTCCACCCCG